GTCTCTTTTGGGTTTGCACAACTAAAGCGCGTTCTCTCTCAACCGCCAGACGCCGTCAACTGTCGTTGTCACATTGCACGAATTCTTGCAGACGCCACTTTTCCCTTTTGCTTTTGACACTTCGGCGAGAAACCTCGACAAAAGGTAAGTTTCCTTTAAATCCCAATTTATCTTGGCAACTATCCTCCATCCGAACTCCCTAATCTATCAGACGACCACTAGAAAGGCGGACGCACGTTTTTTAATAAAATTTCTGTGTTATTTTGCAGATTTTCCTCAAAAATGTCTGACGTTGAAACGTGAGTATGGGCCTAACCGGTGTCTATTTGGAGCACCAGTTTACTACGGGGGGGCTTTGCCATCAACCAACAGCTTCAATCTAGAAATTGAGGGTTGACTGGTTTACGTGGCGGTCCCTTGAAGGTTTTCACGCGTGTCGCGCGGCACGAGTGAAAATTTGGGGACCCCCCCATTGTAAGCACTGTGTTGACTCGAGGATGTTTTTAGAGATGATGCTCCCGCGCCAACCCCCGCACCCGCACCCGTCAGTGGAGGCCCCATGGACGTGAACCAGGCCCTGCAGGAGGTACTGAAGAAGGCGTTGATTCACGATGGTGTCGTTCATGGACTGCACGAGGCTGCTAAGGCCCTGGACAAGAGGCAGGCGGTTTTATGTGTGTTGGCTGAGAACTGCGATGAACCCAGGTGAGGGACCATTTATTTTGTCTATTAAAATGCATCAAAGGAAGGAACTGTGATGATTTCAAAGGCAGGCTCCCTCTTCAGACTGAACCCAATTAAACCGTGGTTGAGACTCTTGCCTACTGATGCATCTAGTAGAGCTTTAAATCTTGGCTGTGTTTGAGGAAGGTGTTAAGAGCGGCCTGTTTCAGATACAAGCAGTTGGTGCAGGCCTTATGTGCGGAGCACCAGATCGACCTGATTAAGGTGGACAACAACAAAAAACTGGGCGAATGGTCAGGACTATGCAAAATCGACAGCACGGGGAAGGCGAGGAAAGTCGTTGGCAGTTCGTGTGTAGTCATCAAGGTAAGCTAGACTGTTCTGGTTAGTTACTGTATGCCAATACCAATGCTATTCACTTCACTTGCCCCCTACTAATGGTCTGTTTCTCCAGGACTTTGGAGAAGAGTCTCCAGCCCTTGACGTCCTTAAGGAATACTTGAAAAACAACAAATAATTATAAGGTTTTTTATGTAATATAAGGACAATTGAAAAATGCAAGGCGTTTGTGTTTCATTCCATTGTCCCTAGGGATTAATTCCTTTGGTTGCGATCGCAGGAAGTTGGTGAGGGTTTTGGGGCCGTTAGGCTTCCATTAGTGTAAATGTACTCATTTAATAACTAGGCAGACAGTTTCAAGGACAATGCAACTTCACACTTACTACAGGTATACAAATTTCTGTAACAGAATATAACATATGAGGACGATAAAGGAAGCTTATTCTAAGTATGTACATGGTGGAACTTGTGGTTGGGGCCTCAGTATTCCGGTCTACTTCTTCGAGCATCCCTCTTCAGCAACATCTAAAATAAATCGATTGGTTGAAGCGTGAGATTCACATGGAGCCAAACACCTTATCATTTACATAAAAGCAAAGCAACTAGTGAAGATTTGCACATGAAGTGGTAGCCCAACTAAGCAGAAAGTAATACACGGCCCCAATAAACCTATCAAGGATCAATACTTTTTCCATCACAGGCGACAATTTTCACTTTATCAATCTTGGTGATTTCGTGCACTTCGCGGAACTCCACATCGTTCAGCATGAAGGTCCACACGTTGTCACAAAACCTGTACGTATTCAGCTTTCCTGCCTTGAAAGTTAGTCGGGATTTGACTCGGGTGGCCAGCATTTGGTTTATCGACTTGTCGAACTGCAGAAGGACTTTGCAGGCCAATTGGGGCGTAATTTGCCCATACTGAAAGGAAACCACATGTAATTTGGGGGGATGCATTTCAACCCTTCACGCTTACCTGCAGAAGTTCGTCGAGACTTTCTTGAAGCGTATGCCCCAGCGTTGTGTTACGGTACAACTGATAGGACATGGTTTTTGCACGTTTTTTGGCTGCTTTACTTTAAATTAAAACCTACTCGGTTGTGCTGAAGCAGCAACAAACAATGGCAATGCTGATGACAACACGAGTAAGACATCTGGCAAGTGACAGCCGCCAATTAGCAATGTTGCCAGTGTGCGAATTAATTCTTTAAAAAGTTAGATCCAGAAACAAGAGAAATATTTTTTAACTATTTATCTAAATTATGATTTGTGATATCGAGTTTGTTTGGTTGTTGTTGCCTTTATTAAGTTAAGAAAAGGTACGAAAATGTTGTCTGTCTGAAGCGCACCATTCTCTGATTTTTTTGGGACTCGTTCACGCATATTAGCGCGAAACTTTCCACAAATGAATTAATCCAGTATTTTATTTAAATGAGAAAACAACAGTTGTTAAGGAATTGTTAATCGTTAGTGCTGTTAAACTAATTGAGAATGGAATTTAAATAATTGAAGCTCGAGATACCAGTAGCAACGGTTGTTTAACAACAGACAGTAAACAAAAAAAGTAGTTGTTGATAAAGACTCGATTATAAAAAGGGCACAAATAAAGTATCTTAAAAAACACTCAATGGTCGTCATTATAATTATAAAATAAATACAGTCCACTTTGAGTGCCAAATAAAGGCATTTCAACACAACAGTAGATGGACATGGAGCGACAACTGGATAAACTTACCCCCTTGAAAATTTGGCAACGGTGCGCAACGTGCCGTTTTCGCTCATGCGTCATTTGATAATGACGCAAAACATATGGCTGCTGACCAAAACATTTACCAATTTGTCATC